CACTGAGATTTAGACTTAGACCTAGACCGAAAGCCGAAGTGCAAAAGCAAGATATAGTCGAAGGCGAAGGTCAGTCTAGTCCGCGAGTCGCGAACGTCTTTATGAGATATAGGAGCTACAGCTATTAAAGTCTAAATACAACCACCCCTTGTCTAGGGGGGCGGGGGTGGGGTGGGCACGAAAAAGGAGAATTTCCGATTACAGGTTGGGGCCGGGGGGTGGGGGTGAGGGGGGAGTGGGTAGACTGCTGCTTCCGCCTTCCGCATCCTTCCGGTGCCCTTGCCTCCCACTATCTCCAGTGGGAGGCTCGGGCTCCTTCTGCTTGACACACCTGTGAGAAGCCTTAGCGCGGTGCCTGACAGATCCTGACAGAATTGGAGGAGGAATTATTTTGAGGGCTACTATCGGGCTTATAAGGGGGATACTAGGAGTTTATTAGATTTAGATTCTAGCCTAGCTGCTAGCTGCTAGCTGCTAGCTCGTATACTCATCTGCGCATCCACTGAAATTCGTTCTGCCTCGATTTGCAGAACTCATGGAACTGTGGCTAAGGCTACGCGGCTACGCGGCTAAACTAAACTGCTATGGGCGAAAAGCCAGAATGTATGAAACCTCATGCTCCGCACTGTCTCCGATAGCTAACAGCAGAAACACTTGCTGAGGCAGCTACTCTGGTAGACCAAAGAAACATGAAGTGTGCAATGTTTACGGCTGCGGCAAGCCTGCAAGGCCTGTGCGTTGAACACGAACATGGGCAAAAGCCTGGCACAGATGGAGTCCACTCTGGTCGCACAACTCCAGAACACCAAGTCAGACCACATTTTTTGAAGAGAACCGTTCTGCGGTTGTCATACTGCAAACAAAGTTCGTGAAGGCTCCCACACCTCATTCTTCCATATATGACAAAACATGAGGAGAGAAGGCACTGCGGAATCCACTACTGTTGCAGCCCACCACGAGCCTGGTAGACTGCCAGTGATCACACTCGAAGCGAGCGCGCCTCCTGAAGAGGAACACCTGAGAAGGACTGCTAATAAGCATCAGGCAAGCTAGCTCTGGTCAGTCTGTCTTTGTTGAAGCAGCAGCACTACGCTATCCAAGCTGTTTACGACGCTGCCAAGATTCTTAAGCTGAGAATTACAATGGCTGATATGTTCACACCCCGCCCTAAGCATTTTTTATTCAAATCATTTTACTTTCACGGCCTAGTCTTAGGGCGTGAGGCTTGAGACTTAGGACTCATTCAAAACTTCAGAGCGACTTGAGAAGCCTCAGGTTGGGGTTTAAAACAGCGAGAGGGCTCCCTTCAGAGATCATGGCGATTACGATTAGGATTTGAACCTGTGAGTGCAAGCAAGGAAGCTAAACCACGCCCTGAGCCCGGTACCTCAGGGCTTCATCGGTTGCGGAGTTTCATCATCCACCTCTCACTTTTCATTGTTCGGCTCGCCGAAGCATGTTCAGCTGCGGAGCTCGTTTCTGCTGTGGAAAGCCATTGCACCAGGTCGCCCTCGATGTCTGCCATGAGAGGGTCTCGTCCCAGCCGCCCTCTGATGCCGCGCAGCCTCTCTGTACCCTGGCCTGGCATGCTCACAATTGAGGAACAACTCTTGTGCTTGCGACACTCAGCCTTAAGTGCCATTGCGCCCAAGTACATCAGACGGCCGACTTCACTGTTGTTGGCCCTGGACCGAAAGCGCCAAAAGCCGGCGTCGTATATAGGCAGCGGCTCTTGCCGCTGGACATCTTCATTGTCTGCGCTGGCTGCTTGAGGCGGCTGAGGTGGTTGAGACAGCGCATCCAAGTTCATTGGATCAGCTCCAACATCCTCGTCATCGTCCTGATCCGACCCTGCTTCCAAAGACATGTTGTCTCGTTCCTCTGGTTGCACCTGAGCTGCCGCATCCTCCAAGTCTTCCGGGGCTTCGGCTTCCTGGAGCAGCTCATCCAATGGATCATACTCTTCAGCGATGCCTGGATCTGGCATTGGAGCAGGCTCCTCCTCATCCTCCGCAAACCCGTCAAAAAGGTCGATGTTGTCGACACCATTCTCAAGGGCAGCACCCGCCCTTCGCTGGCGGCGGAGATCAGCTGGCTCACGCGCAGGACTAGCTTCATAGACTGCAGCAGTTCGCAGAATGAGGTAGGTGTCTAGACGGCCATGTGACAATGTCCACTCCAGGAACGTAAACCTCACGAACTCCACCTGCTCGTGCCCGATGAAGCACAAGCTGCTTGCCAATGCATCCTCCGAGATGATGGTCAGCCTGCCGCTTGCCCCCCCAAACCCAGATCACGCACCCTCTACCAAGAAGTCAAATTATTGTAAGGCAAGAAGGAATCCTGCAGGAAAACTTTGACGGAACCTAGAAGTCAACAGTCAACGTGTTGAACAAAATACTGTTTGGGCCCCGCAACCCTAGCCCTATCCACTCTAGACTCTAGACTAGACTCTAGATTGGCATTACCTGTGGGATTAAATCAGATCTTGCATTGTGATGTGTACTTCCCTGCCTAAGCTCTTTCACTTTGACGGCCGCTGATTAACTGTTCAACGTTGACGTCATGGGTTGACCTGTCGAAAAAACAGCTCCCCAAACAATTACTGCAAAACGAAAAACGGATTACTACATCCACAGCCTGCCGCGGCATGCTTGAGCAAGCGGCCGACGTCTGGGCCTCCACTGACCGGCCAAGGGCTCGTAGCACTGCTGAAGAGTGGTTCCCACAACAGTAGTCGCAGAGACCTCAGCATCGGCAACAATTGCTAAAGGCTAAATTGGCGGAAGCGTGTTGGGAGGAGCCTACCCCAAAATGAAGCACGACAAGTAAAACAGCGGACGCTTGAAATGTATATGGAAGCACCGTAGACCACTCTGGACTAGATCACTAGAGGCTAGTCGAGTGACTAGACTAGAGACTTGACTAGACTGCTAGAAGATCCTAGAGTCCTAGGGTGAGTCATGGAGGTCCTACGTCCCAAGTCTCCTAAGTCCCAGGGCCGTAGGGTCTTGAAGGCTTAAGTCTTAAATCTTAAGTCTTAAGTCTCAGAGTAGTCTTAGAGTCGGTGTCGGTGTCATAGACTCTAGAAATTTCAGAATCCAAAATCTGAAATGTAAACTCTGCAGACTGCATACTCTATTACACATGGCACAGATTGTTGGTCTGTAGAGTCCATAGGACCTGGCTCACGGTTCAAGGTTTGCAGCAGGGTTGGGTTGGGTCCTGGGTTCTGGCAATCTGATTGAGGTCTTGGCCTTGACACCTACAGCAAATGCCAACTCGTGCGTACACTACACTACATCACAATATTCTCCGACCTATTCTCAGGCGGAAACTAACTTTGGCTTCGATTCTTTTATTCTGCTCTGAATTGAATCTAGGCGAGTAGCCACATCGGCTTGATGGGGCTTTAATTTCGCCATTGAAGCCTGCGCGACATGGTGGGCCTGTTGGCCGACTGCACTAGCCACAGCATAGAAAGTGATTGCATCCGGCTGCTCGCCACCAGGATCCTTGTAACACTCCGCTGCAAAAACCAGATTGGCAGCTGGGACATCCTTTGATTTGTTGCAGTGGTCCCGGATCATAGAATGCAACAACGCAACCAATTTGTCATGAAACTTCACACTGCGGGCTGTGTTGTCAACACGGCACATGTCACCACAACGCTTTGGGTACATTACTCGATCAGGAATGGAATCTCCTAGCGGCGCCCCCTGCATGTGGTTGGCTGCCTTGGCGAAATCGCCGACAGCTGTCTGGATGTTGAAGCTGCGGGGGCGCATGAAATTGCGAACCTCAGCAGGCGCAATCGGGAAATCGCCGTAAGCAGGTGCTCTGGCTGTCCGTGCATTCCCAACATCGAATTTTCCGCGCGCTTGCTCCACCAGCGGCGTTTTCAAGCTTGTGCACGCGAGACAGGATGGCAAAGGTGGCGCAGAAGGCGGCTCTCGTGTTGTAGCGTCACGCTGCATCATTTGGGCAAGGCCATCTGGATTTTGGTCAGGAGGCGCGGCCGAGGATGGAGCATCCTGCAGCACAGCCAGCGGCTGAGGCGCAGCAACCTCTTGCTCAGCAGGTTGGCACTTTGCTCTTGCCTTCGCAAGGCTCCGAGCCAACTTGGCATGCGTTTTCTCGGACTCAGATTGCCTCTCCAGCTCACGTTTCCGCTCATCAGCAAGTTGCTCGAAATCTCGCTTGCATGCGTCCCAAGATTCTTTGCTGCAGGGATTGATTTTCCGTTGTGCATGTTGACCGGCGATCCACTCTGTCCGGAAAATTTCCAAAGGGCTGCGCGGCTTTAACTTTGTTTTCGCTTTCTCTGCTGCATTGGCAGCAGAGGAAGAAGCCTCGGCATCTGGCAAGGCGTGGCCATGCGGCCCACGCCTCCCTTGCAGCGCTTCCTGCGTGGCAGCCGCAGCACGGGCTTTCCTTAGAGCTCAGAAGAAAAGGGCCAAGGATGGCAAGCTACACTAACCTCTGACTCTAATAGACTCTAACCTCATATACAGTTACCTTCTTGTGAACGCTGCGCGGCAACCCCTACGCCCTATGCCCCTGGGCCCCTGGGCCCCTTAGGCCCTAGGCCCCAGCTAGGCCCTAGCCCTGGGCCCTGTAGCGACTGTAGTACAGTAAAGCTGGTGACCTTTACCGTTGCGCCGCCCCGAGCACAAACAGCAAACCTGAGACTTGTAATCCTCACCGGATCCTCGTCCTAGGGCCTAGGGCCTAGGGGCTTAGGCGGCTTGGGCTTAGGGCTCAGGTCCCAGGTCCTACGCTACCTACATATTATATTTTTACATATTACATATTACATTGCATATTGCTACATTACTTACCTTACACCTTGCTACGCTACGCGCTTGTGTCCTTGAGCCTTGAACCCTCATGGACTCATGGACTCATGGCCCATGACTCATGGCCTACAAGCTCAGTTCAGCCCTAAAAGTCCTAAAAGCCTTAGCCCCGCCTTTAGATAGATCCAACAGCTCCTAGGATCACAGCCGGCCCCCAAGATCAGCTTCGATGGATCCTCTGACAAGGCGTTGCAACTTATGAAAGTCTACTGGCCGTGACGGTGACCCTGAAGAAACCAACTGAACATGTGAAGCAAGCATCCGCTCGTCTTGCGTGCGAACAACAGCTGTCAACTGCTGACGCGCCTCTGCGAGGACGGAATCAGCAGAAAACATGTAAAAAGGCATGCCAGGGTTCGCGGCTTGTCTGTGCGTCGCGTGGCGGCGTTCCACGCTGGCTATGGACATCTTCAGGATCACAGACGTCAGAAGAAAAAACCACCGCCACCGGCCGACATGTTCAATGAAGTTCTGTTGCTCAACAGCCTGACGAATCTCCCGGGCAAAGCCTGCTGGCAGACAACATGTCCGAGTGGAGAAGAATTGCCGGCAAATTTCTGTGTGCTCACCGACACGGCGACCATCTGCCAACGCAAAGAGCTTGAAGGGCCATCGGCAAACATTGCATTCCTGGGATCTGAACGAAGCCGCAGAGAGTCAAATTTGTGCTGCTTCGTTCTTGGCTTGGGGCTGAGGATATCACTACCTGTCACTACCTGCTCCCTTTCCTTGGGCCTGAAGCTTTGAAGTCTAAGCTGAAATTGTAGTACAAGCCCTAAGAAAGATTGCAATTTTACCCTAAGCCCTAAATGCCCTAAACTAAATTATAAAACTACGACTGTGGTATATACTGATATCTAGTTTATTCATCGCTTGGTTTCGGGGTCTTTCACCATGTGAAGCCTTAAGTCTGGGGTAAAGGTTTCGGTGTCGGGCATGCGTACATCGTGTACGCGGTTGGGCCAAGCGAGATTGGAACTAAGATCAAAACAGACAATGCCAATGCGCAGTCGAGTAACGTACCGCCGGTGCAGGGAGGCGGCAACAAGCAAGAAAGTGCTCCTTGCTCTCTTGGCTTCTTCAGGGCAGTTCTCCACCCATTGAGCAACAGTTTCGTTTTGCGACAGAGCGAAGAGAAGCACCAGTCGGCTGCTTTCTCCCCCAAGGAGCGTTGCAAGGTGCTCCATTGCAGCCACGTTTCTCGAAGCTGGCGGCCATAACTCGTTAAGGAGCAATGGCCATGACGCGTCGTCTGGAGCTGTGTGCGCGTGCTTCAAAAAGCAGCTGTGCACATGGCGCAGCGGCTCAATGCTCAAACTCAGAAGCACGCGATGGAATCGGTCCTCCTTGGACAGGAGCATGGCTCTGGTGCGCGCCATTCTTCTGCCAGCAAGCCGATTCCAATCCAATTTCTCCTCAAGATGACCCACTAGAATCACTTCACAAGAAGTTTGAAGCACACCTCCGAGAAAAAACATAATTTGGGGCGGGGTTAGGGTAGAGCCCTGCCAAGCTTCATGGAGCTCTGCATCGCGATCGACCAACTCGCCCTCTGGCCTTGCCCAATTCTCTGCTCGAGCAGCATCCAAAAGTGAAAGCAGCAAGCCGCCAAATTCACATCCCATAAAGAAGTCAAGGCATGGGCCAACTTTAGACCAATCCGAGACTAGTGGAACGCATGGCACCAATCTGAAGATGACTTGCAGGATGGAGGCCTGGGAAATCTTCAAACCGAGTGTTCGGGCTCAGGCTCCCCAAGTTGAAGTGAAAACCCGTGACTTCGAAACTCAAGCAATAGGTCACAAATCAATAATCCTTATTAGCCTTATAAGTCACGTATGATACGCAATAAATCTACTAAATCTACAAGCCAGGCAGCCAGAAACTAACCTTAAGCTTCGAAGCCTGAACTAAACCTTCACACTCCCCATGTTCAATCTTGATAATGGCTCACCGGCTCACCTCTGCCTTGCGCTCTGCGTCCCGACGGGACGCACAACAAGAGTTCCGGCAACAATGGACCAGCTTGTCACCACGTCCATGCAGGACACTCGTGAAACAGTGCTCGATGGCATCTGCCACCTTGCGGAAGTTGCCTGTCCAAGCTGGAGCTGGGGCCACTTGGTCAGGAATTTCAGGCGTCTTTCCCTGGGCGTGTAAGAACGTAATATCAGTATAAGGTAATCAGTCAGGGCTGAAATGACGTACGTCCGGTCTAACCCCAAATTTCCTTGCCAATGCAAGATGCTGAAGCATGACAGACGCCTACACTATGCTGACTCACCCACTCAGTCGCTCACTCCTTTCTCTCAGGACTGGTCCAGATGAAATCTTGAATCTTGAAGATAGTCGGGCCTCCTTGTGCTGCGGACGGGGACATTTGGCGTTGATGATGCCTCAAGTTGTCTATCAAATACCCTGCAACCTCCTTGCGGTAGGCTGCACCTTCTTCAAGATCACGCGCTGAAGGATTCGGAAGCCAGGTGAAGCACTGCTCTTTTTGGAGCAGTCCACGCAGACTCCCGAGCAAGCGCAAGAGGTGCGTTCCCATACGCAACCACAAACTGGCACAATACAAATTGGGAAGGAGCTTGCCTGATAAATCAGCAGCTTTCGGCATGTTGTTGATTGCCTGCGTCAAGATCAGGTTTGTTTGATGGTTGCCGCAGAGCACCAGCTCCCGCAACAGCGGCAATCCTGCTGCTGGTCTGTCTGCCATCTCTTTCTGGTACGTGTGAAAATGTAGCTTCTCATTGGATAGATGACCATCGGCTTCATGCAGAAAGCATCGAAGTTCTGCAGACATACAGATCTCATACACAGAAGATAACAACATCTTGATCATTGGGTGGGCTCGCAAAGCGCTCCATATTGAAATTGCAGAGTTGCTCGCTAAGGGCATGGGTGCAATGACAAAATCTTTCCAGAACTTTAGCCCTGGTCCCTGCAGCCATCCAATGGTAAGGTGAAGCCTAGCAACAAGTGTAGTGCAACCAGATCTTTTGGCTTCAGAATGCTGAAGGCCGCTCGTCGACAATGTCTGCTGCGTTTCGTCCCACATCAACGTCGCAGACGCGACGTCTGGCTTCGGGTTTTGGGAAACCACAAAATCTCTCAACTCCAGGAGCTGCTTTATCTGGACCTCCAACAGCGTAGCTGCGCCGACAACCAGACCACGCATCACCGTCTGCCTTGAAACTCGATAGAGGTCGGCAGCAGCATGCCTGTTTCGACGTGGGTCAAAGCAAACGCAGCAGATCTCAAAGGCAGTTAGGCTCCGCCTGCGGTGATCAGCTGAGTGGCCCCCGCTTCTCAACTGCAGTCGCACAGCAGTTCCTGATGCCCAGGCACGCCGCTTCATTTGCACAGCTGCTAGCTTGGGAGCCCTTGCCCCCTTGATCGCATTGTGCTGCTCAGCAAACTGCATGATCTGCCCCGCATTTTCTTCTAACATACCGGTAGCCCTCCTCCGCGCCCTGGCTTCTCTGCCAACAGCGGCCAGCAAACACAGCTGCGAATATGCGCGCTTCTTTCCCTCTCCAGTGCCAAAAGCAGACTCCTGTCGAAACAGCTTGGGAACCCAAACTGAATTGTCCATGACCTTCACTAGCTAAAGTTGCCAAACAATACCAAACCGAAAGTCAAAACAATGGCTCTCGGAATACCTGGAACTTGCACTATTCCTGATGAATTTGTCATGGCCTTTGGGCGGGCGGCCATCGGCAAATCCATATCCTCAGGCTGAACAGCCGCATTGTTGCCAGGCAACGCCTGGCGCAGAAGGAAATGAAACTTCGGTTTTCGAGTTCAGCAAGCTCAGCCTCAAAGGGCAGGGTGTGTCATGCTTCTACTTGCTTATTCGGGCTTTAGGCAGGTATATCAGCCTGGAAAGGGTAGTTGAGGGCTTCAAGTTTGAGGTTGATGGGTTTCGCTTCAGGGTAGTTTAGGGTTCGCGGTTTGGAACTTAGGGCGTTCAGGTTTAGAGTGTGTAAGGTAGAACTTGAGCGCGGGCAAAGGTCGGGGGACTGGGATTGCTCACGCAAGCTTTGGGCCTGGGGTCGGGGTCTCAGGCTTTCCGGCCACAGATTGAAGGCGCAGGCTGTTTGGATTCAGATTGGACTATTCTTTAAACCATATAACAATATAGATATGGTATCTACGACTCTAGACTCTCTAGACTCTAGAATCTCTAGAATCTAGAATCTTGATGGATTCTAGACTCAACTCTACATTCTACATTGTATGCTGCATTGAACACTGCATTGCATAGCATGCCGCAGCGACGCCGCATATAGGTACAGAGTTGCAGAGTGTAGAGTCCAGAGTCGAGAGTCTCGAGTATGAGTAGATATACGGCCCAAAGGTCCCAGGCACAGGCTCGACAATGTCACCCGAGACAAAAGACTCGCAAGATTGAAGAATGGAATACAGCCTGACCGTCCTAACAGTCCTAACACCTTGAAAATCTCGAACTATGTCATTAAAGCACCTTGGACCTTTGAACTTTCAAGTTAAACCGCCTAAACCTGTATAGCCTGGCTCCGCCTTGGAATCTCGGACATTAATCGATCAAGTCGACCCCCACCCTGCTGACATTGACACTTTTGCGACAAACAGAGCAAGCCAACACTAGGTCACTAGGTGTCACTAGGTCTTCTGGCCAACCGCCCATGGCTGAGCAGCATCAAAATCAGCGACGCAAGTTTCAAATCTAGCCCCGTTTTCAAAACACTTGCAGCCACTTGCACTGGTCCACCTCACTTCAGGTGACTCGACGGTGCTGCTTGGATCTGGCCATTCTTAATCACGATATCCATTGGCTGGTCAAAGTAGATTCGGTGAGCATCTGGAGCAGCATCTGGGGCAGGATCTGGGGCAGGATCTCGAGTCGTCTTCGTGAGGAGGAACCCTCTGCGCAGACCAGGCCCAGATTTACTCGTCTTGGTGCCCTCCACCTTCTGGATATCTGTCTTGGCCTTCGCCGTCTCTGCTGCCTTCACGGCAGTCGTGCCTGTCTCGCAAGCGAACTCGGATATTTTGGGCTCCTCGCAGCTTAGAGCTGACTGAACAACCTCAATCACTTCGTTCGTTACCTTCTGTTCATCCTCACCCTGCACTCTGACGCGGATGAAGTCACGCCAAAAGGGGTCCTCATACGCTAGGCGAACCTCTTCCTCTGACAAGTCCGGCAAGTCAAAGCCGTCGCTCTCGCTGGAGAACGGACTACACTCAGACTCAGACTCGATCTGACTATCCTGCTCGGATGAGTTAGACATGTCGGCACAAGGGCCGCACGTGCTACTGCTACTTACTGCTTCCTTTCAGAAGCTCAGGCTGACGGCTTCAAGAGTGATGGCCCAGCGACACCACGTGTTCAACTATTCAACCGTTCAGCCTTTGCACAGATCAAAACCCAAATCTGAGCATGCAAAAACCCTCAGGATTCATGATTTCACGATTATGAGTTTGGTCCACATTCTTGCTCTTAATCTTTGGGCAGTGTGTACTGTTTACGTAAACGAGCTTCAGCCCACCCCGGCCTTGAGGTAAGGGCTTAAATTGGTGCGCGACACAACGGACTGTCACTGGGAATAAGATTGGCTTGCAGCAGCTACCGGCAAGCTGTAGCGCAGTCAAGTGAGTCGAGTGGATCATTTCCTAACAGAGAGCCATCCCCTGCCTCAGCATCAAGATCGGAGTCAAAGGCATCGTATCCATCCTGGATACATTAAATGGAGGTTAGACGGTTTAGCTTTTGGAACCAGGACCTATGGGAGGACCTAGGGGAGGACCTAGGACCTAGGACCTAGACTAGACCTAGACCGGACTCCTACCAAGTTTAGGACCATGTGACATGATGTGGATTTAGGCGCTCTGGAGCAAACTCAAGTCAGTTGCGATGGTCATGAATCATCAGCCGCGTGCCAAAGGAGTTGCATCCCAAGTCTATTAGACTAGACTCCTATCAAGTTTAGGACCATGTGATAGGTTCAGGCGTTCTGGAGGAAACTCAATTCAGTTGCGGCGGTCATGACTCATCAGCCGCGTGCCGAAGGAGTTGCATCCCAGGTCTAGGGAACCCTTGAACAACAAGGCCAACAACAACAACAACAACAACAACAACAACAACTACTACTACTACTACTACTAGTACTACGACTTCTGCTATTATTATTACTACTACTACTACTACTACTACTTTTTCTGCTATAATTATGCTGCTATTATGATTACTACTTACTACTATTTTTACTACTATCACTACTGCTATTCTTAAGGTCTACACCGTCTACACCTCTTACTACTACTACTTCTACTACTACTACTACTACTACTAGTACTACGACTTCTGCTATTATTATTACTACTACTACTGCTACTACTACTACTACTACTACTAGTACTACGACTTCTGCTATTATTACTACTACTACTACTACTTTTTCTGCTATAATTATGCTGCTATTATGATTACTACTTACTACTATTTTTACTACTATCACTACTGCTATTCTTAAGGTCTACACCGTCTACACCTCTTACTACTACTACTACTACTACTACTACTCCTACTACTACTACTACTACTACTTCCATGGCAAACCGTACTAGGCCTTACTTCAAT